AGGAAAATTCTAAGAATAGTGGTATGGAGATGCGAATCAATCTTAAAGTTCTGGCTGTTTCCTTTTAAGTAATATAGCAAAAGGTAAATGTGCTAATCAAGACAGCTGATAATTTCTGATTTTATTCTTTTACTATTGAAGTAGAGGAAAGCCTCTTGCAAAGATCTTATTTTCTGATAATTTAACCTAGTATAGAGACATAATTATTTTTTATGCTATGAATAGCATAAACAGCAATCATTTCATTTTGTTAATGCACTTTTATAGTCTTCTAGCATATTTCAACTTGGAATTTATGCCATTACTTAAGAATAAGATTTTTGGGGATCAGATTATTAATACACATCAGGGTATTAGAACCTTGACCTGATAAATCTACATTCATATCATGAAAATAACCACCAAGAGCTCTAACAGTCAAAATAGCCCACATTCCAGTGAGTGATCTGGATAATCACTATTTCTCTACGTAATAAAAATCTCCCTGGAAAAACACTGAAAATTAGAAAAGTAGTGATATAGATAGCTTTATCATTTCATTCTTTTAATTTAGAAGTTACTTAATTCTTGAATAATTCTTTGGAATATCTATAATATACCCACTCTTATGTGAGCATGGATCTGACTTTGCATTTTGTAGCTACAGAAAAGTCAAACCCCATTGTTATAGTCGATTGCTTATTTTTGTAGTTAATACTGTAAGAAGATAATATGGGTTGAGAGTTTTCCATTATTCCCCCTAGTCCTCAAATATCTCCCTTTACTATCTTAGAGGAGAGTATAGACTTTGAAAGACATGCTTTTAAATATGAAACCCTAAAGTCTTAGTTAAAATTCACTTTAAAAATGACAAAATATAAAGATTTATTATAGCAAATAATAACACCATAACTTGGACATCTAGCTATCCTGTGCAAGAGGATACTGAAACTATACATCTCAAGGTAAGCAAGTGTAGGGTAAGGAAAAAAATGTCAGGCTTTTCTGCCCTCCCGTCATTAGGATAGATGATGGATCCTTGCGGTCCTGAATGCATGCCTGATGGCGGGTACCTGGAGGAGGGTGTGGGCATAGGTAGATGGGATTCACCTGGGCTGAGACTGTGCTTTTAAGGGCGGCATCACGGGGACTCCAGCAGAAGCCAAAAGAGAAGCTGAGAAAGAAGCAGCAGAAGCCGAGAGAGAAGCAGAGAAGGCCGGAGAGCCCAGATAGAGTGAAGACTTGCTGGGAGGCCTGCCAACCTCCCGGCCCCCCAGCACCCCTGCCTGCTGTGTACGGGGTAAATCCCAATAACAGCCTGCAAAAAGCCCCTGAGGGCTCCAGGACTCTCTCCTCCTTTACCCGGTCTGCTGGATCAGAAAACCTGCACTATGTCCTGTCCTGCCTCTACAGCAAGATTTAATCAGACAATAGGAACTAAGAGCTACAAATCTTATATCTTAGGAACTTACTCTGACATAAATCTCATTGTACTTATAGATAAGAGGCAACAGGAGATTATTAGAACCTTGGGAATCAGGTCCTTACAAGAGGTAGCCATAAGGCATCTGAGGATGGTGTAGCAAAATGTGGGTTCCCTTTGGAAGAACAGGATTATAAAATGTGCATCATAATTTTCATATGCTGTTTTGTTATATAACAACATAGATACCTATTTAAACATACATTTTATTTCATGTCTCTATATTACATATATCAACATGTGAAGTTGATATATTCTCTGTGAGGCCTTCTGTGTGAGGCTCTCACATGTTATAGCCTGCCACTGGTCCAGTAGGTAACCCCATACCTGGAGCAAAACAAAATAAAAAAAAAATCTTGTCAACAAATAAGTCAGAAAATAAAGACTAAGCTCTGTCTGCTGTTGGTGCTTAAGACTGTTCTTAACAAAAATCACCTGGGCTTGGGGAGTGCTGCAAACAGATCCTATTTCAAAATTTAAAGAATTCCTATGAAGCAGGATTTCTCCCTTTAGAATTAATTCAATATGGGAAACATTGCTATTCTCTTACCATTGTATTCTTAAAGGGTAAATTGGCTTTTGCATGGAAATTTTAGCTCTGAAGGAAAAAAAACTTCTATTACCAGGCTTCAGAGTAAATGGTACTAAATGAAGAGAGACCTATAGCTATTTGGCAGGTGTAGGGTAGGTAAAAGGTAGCAGGCTTTTCTGCCCTCCTGCCATAAGGATATATGAGGGAACCCTGCGGCCCTGAGTGCATGCCTGATGGCGGGCACCTGGAATAGGGTGTGGGCATGTGTAAGTGGGTACACCTGGGCTAAGAGACTGGTATATAAGGGTGGCGCAGCAGAGTGCGGTGTGGTGGTGGTGTGGGGTAGAGGAGGGCAGTGGAGTGCACGGAGGAGTAGGTGACTACAAACAATGGCGAAGAGCACGTGGCTGCTAGAACCGTTCACAAACCTACCCGGGATGGGTTGGTCGGTCACATTACAGCAGGTCACCAGGAGTGAATCTTGAACAGCAATGCAGTGGCTCTGTGCTGGAACAAGATGTGAAGAGGATCTTTATTCTTCAGTGGCTTCCACTTTAGTGGAGGAGCCAGATCAGAGTCATAAAAGGTAAATCAGATTCAGTCGACAAATTTTTAAAAGAATTATTTGACTTCTGTGTAGTTCCACAGTGATGCACCAAATTTAAGGCCATTCTTTTCATGTAACTACACAGCAGCTATCATTTAATCATTTGGTATAATCATTTTTACATTTTCAAATTTCCACCTGCTCTCTTGTGCTTTGTTTTCTCCTGCTCTCTTGATCTTTATTTAAACCCAGAGTTATTTTCAGTGTTAATTTTCAGAAAATGACGTTTCTTTATTTTGGCAGGCACTTTGCAGTAACTTTCTTTTCGAGCAAGAAGATCAGAGATTAACACTTTGTTTCCCTATGATGGTAACTCATTCTTTCTTTGTATTCAGAATCATGAGAAAAATAACTGCAGCAAAAAGAACAAGTGAAATTCCACAAAATTGTCCTAGTGTAGCAAAAATACTGATGAAAATCAAAGGTTAACATTTTGTTCACATATTAAATATTACTTACATTAGCCATTAGTAACATTATTTTATTATTTAGTATACAAATTGAGTACAATTTTATTTACCTTTAATGTATAGCAAATGAAGTGCATATGTCTTAATGTCTAGGCAAGGTTTACACACACAGATTTGGCCCAAGAAGAGAGGAACAAGAAAAAGACAGCAGAAAGGGAGAAGAAATATAAGATTGGGGAAAAACAGAAAAATATTGATCATGATGTTAGACAAAATTGAAAGGCATAAGTGCAGACATTGTGTCTGAAACACAAAGTTAAAAAGCTTGATTCCATCATATAAATATGTATCCACTGTACATATTTATACCCAAAACATGCCAGTAACTGAGAATATTTCAAAAACAAATATATTACAAGATTCATTTTCTTTCTTTTTTTTTTAAAGATTTATTTTATTTATTAATGCATATAAGAGCTGGGGTTGTAGGCAGAGATGGGAGGAGATGAGAGGATTCACCAGAGACAGAGTAAGGAACAGAACAGGGGGATCTACTGAAATTCACTGCTGAGGGGAGCAGCAGGCGAGACAGGAGAGGTCTGTTGCACCATGTGGGTCACCTCCCTGGCCAGGGTTTGAGCTCAGGCTGCAGTGGCTGGTGATAGCTTCACAATGCTAAGACTTAACCCCTTGTGCCTCCAGGGAGACCCCTCAAGATTCACATTCATTGCATTGTATGCAGCATAGCCCCAAACACATTAACTGCTTCTCAGTTGAAACTTGCCCCTTTTTGCAGTGTGGAGGAGGTACGAAGGTTGTAAATTCATTAGCTCAGCCCTAGCCACTCTAAGCTTAGAGTTGGCAGCAAGTCATTCCTGATTTGATAATTAAAAAATATATATAGCCCCTTGAAGTGAGCACTGATGAGCTTAAGAAAGACACTAAAGAAAGATAATACACATCTGAAGAATTGCATGACCCTGCATTACTAAAACCTGCACTGATGTTACCCCCCAAAAAATAAAAAAATAAACTTAAAATTATTTTAAAATTCACCTGTAGATTAATATATTTTTGATGGTGAAAAATATCACTAAATAATTTTAAATTATTTTTTAATTATTCTCCCCCTTCATTTTTGAGGAGGGGGAAATATCTACACCTAAAGGACTTGCAATTCCAGCTCATGACCAGAGATGGCGCTGAGTGTACAGGGAACCTAGGGCACAGCCTGACTCAAAATTGGAAAGAATTAGGACTGAAGCCTGTGAGCATAAATCCTCGCTTAACCTCAGCAGCACATCTATGATAGTGAATTTAGAGGAAGGAAAAGAAGCCTAAGGAACAAACAAAAATGACTTGCATTAGGGGACCTGCATATTAGAAAGGAGAGAGGAATGAAAATCTGACAGATTAATATGGAAGACTCAGCAAGGGTCTGGGGGCCAGGAACACAGATAAAAAGGCTGCATTTTCTTAGGTCAAATAACCACCAGGGGAATTTTCCTGATGTTTAGTAAGTCTTTGGCAGAGGGAAACATGGAGGGTCTGTGCTTTTAGGTTACGGTCTAAGGCCTGTTCTGTCTTTAACAAATAGGAAACCAAAGTAATTTGATGTAGTCACGGAGTATGACCCCCAAAGTCTAAGAATGCATTTTGAATTTCTTTTTGGTTAACAGAGATTTGCTCAATAAACATGTCCATCTCACATGAGAAAGGCTTGGACTGCTAATTAGTGGAAGCAGGGTGAGCAGATGTGTCTCCCCTTTCATGTGTACTAAGGAAAAATCAATATTGGAAACCCACACACACGTAAAATTATAAAAACCATCCAAGTCTCTCTGATAAGTATGGCAAGGCTTTGAAATTATTTTTATGCTTTTGTTTTGCTTAACTTGTTTTTTTTTAATGACAAATAATAAAACAGGAAATATCCAAACCACACAAAAGGATCTGGAATGGGGATGCAAGTGTCCTTCTCAGCCTTACATTGGCTCCGCTCTCCCTTGCCTGCTGGGGCTCCTCACCAGCGCCGGCAGAGTTGTGGCCACAGAGCTCTGAGTCTCCACCTGGGGTGCGGTCTATGAATTGGCAGCATCAACATCATCTGTGAGGTTGTTAGAAACACAGAACTTCAAATAACAGTCTGGATATATGGATCCAGATCTGTATTTTAGAAACATCCTCAAGTGATACGTAGGTTCATGGAAATCTGTTTTGGATTCCAAAGACAGAACTTGGAGGGCAAGCCCTTCTCTTTCAGTTAAGAGAGAGGACTAAGCAGGGAGGTCTCAGAGACATGAAAGGGCTCCTTCTTGCCACATTTTCACCAGCATTTGTTGTTTCTGTTTTTTTTTTTTTTTTTTTTGCTTTTGCTTTTTTTTTAAATTGTGGGTCATTGTCACAGCTGTGAGGTGGTATCTCATTATGTTTTTTTTTTTTTTTAAAGATTTATTTATTGGACCTCCCTGGTGGTGCAAGGGGTTAAGACACAACCTATGAAGCTGTCCGCAGCCACTGCAGCACGAGTTCGATCCCCGGCCAGGGAGCTACCCACATGGCACAGCAGACCTCTCCTGACTTGCCCGCTGCTCCCTTCAGCAGTGTATTTCAGTCAATCAGCCTGTTCTGTTCCTTGCTCTGTCTCTGGTGAATCCTTTCACCTCCCACACCTCTGGCCTGTACCCCAGCTCTTGTATGCATAAATGTATTTATTTATTTATGCATAGAAGAACTGGGTGTAGGCCAGAAATATGGAGGGGTAGGAAGACTCACCAGAGACAGAGTGGGAGGAGAACAGGCACTGGCTGAAATACACTGTTGATGGGAGCAGCAGGTGAGACAGGAGAGGTCTGCTGTGCCGCCATATGTGGGTCAACTCCCTGGCCCTGGATCAACTCAGGCCACGGGGGTGATAGCTTGATGACACTGAAACTTAACCCTTGTGCCACCAGGGAGGACCCTCACTGTGGTTTTGATTTGCATTGTGGCTACATGGTTGGAGCTGGAGGGATTGTGCTAAGCAAAATAAGGTAAAAGAAAAAAGAAATATCAGATGATTTCACCTACATGTGGAATTATGGAGGAACTAGACAAAGGGTGAGGAAATAGACAAAACTTGCAATATCTGACTATAGATCTGAGGCCTCCAACAGGAGAGGGGGGAGGGCCGGGGTCAAAACAGGAGGAGCACAGGGACTATGGTGACGGGTCCTGTGCTCCCATGTATGGGGACTACACCTGAAGGGAGAAATCAAACACTGTCCAAAAATGAACAACAATGTAAGAAAATAGATTAAAATAAAAAGAGATGTAGTGTTCACTGTGGGATACTTCCTCCCCCCAAGGGATTGAGAGAAGCGCCCTGGGAACCTCTAATAGCTCTCAGTTGTGCCAGCACTAAAGGACCACTTGCATCTCAACTCAAGGCTGAATATTTATTGATTTGCACAATTGCTCCTGCCACCACATACTTCCCTTGGGGTATAAAGGAGCAAGTTCATTGACCAGCTTGTGAGGGCTCCCCAGAGTTTAGGGACATCCGTAAACATACAGCTGTGCCCAGTTATGGTCTGGAGATTTCCAAATGGGGGAAGCTTCTTGGAGCAGCCTGGGATAACAGTGTGAGAAGGAACTATAGGATGCTGTGAGGAGATGAGAAGCAACCAGTTCCCCAAACCTTCTCGGTTCTCTGTGATCTTGGGAGGAGCATAACACAGGATGGTGCAGTCCCTGTGGCTCCAAGAGTTGGAACATAAAGACAGGAGGAGGGAGGAAGAATCCAGGCACCCGGTAAGTCTAGCAAGCAATATTACCAGCAATATGATCCCTCCCAGAGAAGTAATTGTAGGCGTGAGCCACTATCGCAGCTAAAGGAGGCACTGCTATTTCTGAGCAGGCCATCAGTGACATGGAGCTGTGGGTGAGCAGTGCACTCAGAAAAGCCTTCCTGCCACCTTGTTGCTGCCCAGTGGAGACCAGCAGCAGCAAGACCATGGCAGACCAGGGGCTAGTGACCAACTTCTGCATAGATGAACTTTGCTCTACTCTCTCTCCTTTTCACGTCCACCTCTCAGTAGATCTAAACAGAGAAAAGGGTAAGAAAGAAGTCAGATCAAATTCTATTTTCCTCTATCACTGCAAGCAACTCCCAAACCAATTCTTGAAAATGGCTATGGTATAGGAAAGGGTGGGTGAGCTGAGATGTATTGAATTTAATGTTGGTGCTTTAAATTAGACTAGACTTGAAGAACTAAAAGTGATCACACAATTACAGAAACTTCCCAAGACATAGTAAATGGATGAGAAAGCAGGATTGCGTGAAACTGGCTTGGAAGCAATGAGAGAAGAAACGTAAATCACTGAGCTTTCTTTAAAGGGAGAGTTACAAATATAAGTAACAAACATACATTTCTATAGCTTGGTTAATCATCCTTCTTGTTTTCTCCATAAGCAAGATAAAAAAAAAAAATACAGTCCTCACTACCGCTTATCTCCTACATTCATATCTCTTGACGAGAGAGAGTCGCATTTTTGGTGTTTGTGCATAGTGGTTAGCTTCACATTCCTAAAAGGTAGTATTTCCCTTTTAGGGAAAGAAAGGATGCCTGATTTTCTATAAACAACTTGGAAAATGCTCTCTCTGCCTTTTCTCTCTGCACTGACTCACTAGGGTTAGTTACTTGGTGGATGCTCTCCGTGTCCTGTCCCCACTTCCTGAGAACTCACTTTCTAGCACCTGCAGGGACCGTTGCTGCAAAGGGCTTGCTCTGCTGCAGGAGGGCTGGAGAGGACACTCTGACGACACTCTTGGCCAGTGGCCACAAAAACCTGTGGCTAAATGCCCAGCTTCCTTTTCCTGGTACCCCAAGGAAGAGGCAGATCTTGTTCTACACCATTTCCCAGAAGTTTCCAGTGAAGAAACAGGAAATTATTACAAATAAAGCTACTGTGACAGAATGTGTCTAACATGCTCATTACCTCACAGAGCGTGATGGACCATGAGCTTAAAAGCCATCAGAGCTAATTTGCATAATGGAAAAAGGTCCTTTTCTCTGACTTGCCAAATGGGATAAGCAAAAAAATGAAATAACTCTGGGATGTTCAAAATGGTTTTGAAATTGTTATGAAATCTAGTGCAATCGGATCATTCCAAATACCAAGTAGGGACTTTTGTAGGGCTCTTATCTTCCAATTTATGTTTTTAGCATCTTTTATTTTTTCCTTTTCCTTCCAAAAACCTGTCTTTCAAGACATGTCATTATGGTAGTTTTTTTTTTTTTTAAGTTTGAAAGAAGTTAGATAGAAGACAAAAGAGATAAAAAGAACTCAAAGCAGTTTGTTTTACTCTTATTAGCACAATTTTGCCTGAAAAGCTATAAGGATTTGGAAACATTTATCTAAAATACCTCTCAGACTACCTACGGATTTTCATTTTTTAGATTGAATGATCTTAGTGTGCAACAGGTTGGCAGAGATAGCCACACATACACAAACACACTTCTCCATCCACTGTCAGATTCGATTGAAGTCATAATTTAACGTTCCAGGGTTATACAACTCTTACTTGCCACCAGAAAGATAAATTGATGGGATAGTCATCTGAAGGGCAATAATACAATTGGTAGGAACAAGTCTATGATTTGAAAGCTTCAAATGAGAAGAACATGTGTAACAAATTTTCTCCTTTACGTAAAGTCAGATACAGTATACCTCTTACTGTAGCTACTTTCCAGTTCAGTTATGGCTGGTTTAAAAAATAAATGAGAAAAATGAGAAGTCACTTCTTTTTTTTTTTTAATGAAGTAATGTACTTAAGTAGAATTATTATTTTTTTAAAGATTTATTTATTTATTTATAAAAACATTGGGTACAGTCAGAAGTGTGGGAGGGTGAGAGAATTCACCAGAGCCAGAGCGGGGAGCAGAGCAGGCAGACTGAAGAAGTACACTGCTGAGGGGAGCAGCAGGCGTGGCAGGAGATGTCTGTTGCGCCATGTGGGACCCTCGCTGGCGGCCAGTGATTGAACCAGCGCTGCAGAGGCTGCGGGCAGCTTCGGAGCCCAGCAATCAACTGCTGCGCCACCAGGGGAGGCCTGAGAAGTCACTTCCTATACAAGGAAATGGATGTACTAAAACAGGGAGACAATAACACATGCTAACAAGAATGTGTAGAAACTGGAACACTTGTTGGTAGAAATGTGAAATGTTACAACTATGTTATTAAGAATGGGGCATTTTCTTAAGAAGTTTAACATAAATATTATCATAAAAGCTGATGGTTGTACTCCTAGATATCTACCCTAAATATCTACCTTAGAAAGAAAAACATTTACAGGGGCCTATCTGGTGGTGCAAGGAGTTGAGTGTCAGCACTATGAAGCTATCAAGAACTACTGCAGGGCAAGTTAGATCTCCAGCCAGGGAGGTGACCCACATAGCCCAGCAGACCTCTCCTGTGTCCCCGCTGCTCCCCTCAGCAGTGTATTTCAGTAGACCTGTCTGTTCTGCTCTCCATTCTGTCTCTGGTGAATCCTCTCACCCCCGCACTTCTGGCCTGTACCCCAGTTCTTACATGCATAAATAAATCTTAAAAAAAAGAAAAACATTTACATAAAGGCTTGTTCATAATAGCAGCAATATTATTAAAATAGCAAAAAGTGAAAACAATTCAAAGTTTGTCCCTGAGCTGGCACATGGATAAAACATGCACTATGCCCATAAAAATGGGATACAATTCAGTAATAAAAAGGAATAAACCACTGAATTGTATTATCTCACAAATGAATCTCAAAAAACCATTATGCTAACACGTGCAGTGCAAAAGACTATATATTATATGATTTGTTAATATGAAATGTCAGGAAAGTCAAATATGTAGAGACAGAAATAGATTAGCAGTTATTTAGTACTGTGGTGAGAACAGGGATTGTTTGTAATTTGGCACAGGGGATCTTTCTGGGGTGATGGAAATGCTCCAAAACTGGATTGTGGTGATGGGCTCACAGTTCTGTAAATTTAATTAAGATTGTTGAATTATACAATTAAAATGGGTAAATTTCATGGAATGTAAATTATACCTCCATCAAACTTTTTAAACAAATAAAAGGGAAGACGGACTGCAAACAGAAGGACGTGGTTTGTGTACCTTCCTTAGGTTACCTTGGTTCATGTTTGAGCCTCTGTATGCCTCAGATAACTTTGTGTGCCTGGTCCTTAGACTCACTTTGGCCCCTAAACTTCCTAAGGCTCAACGCCTTACATTCCAATTGAGTTGAATCCCCCTATCACACTAACTTATGGTGTAGTGAGTAATTAGGCTTCCCCAGGAAAGGTCTGGTTTTTCCCTCAACTATTAGGAGGGGAAGGACCTTTAAGACCTTAACAATTTCCTGCCTGGTGGGAGGATCTTTGTTTCCCTGGAGACATTACTACTGATGATTGAATGTGGTATTTTTTTTTTTAAATTTATTATTTATTTATACAAGCACTGGGTACAGTCAGAAGTGTGGGATGGTGAGGGAATTCACCAGAGCCAGAGCGGGGAACAGAACAGGCAGAAGGACCAAAGCACACTGCTGAGGGGAGCAGCGGGTGGCAGGAGAGGTCTGTGCGCCATGTGGGACCCTCGCCTGTGGCCGGGGATCGAACTGGCACTGCAGAGGCTGCAGGCAGTTTCTCAGCCCAGCGCTCAACCGCTGCGCCACCAGGGGAGGCCCTTGAATGTGATTTTAATGGAGCTTTAGATGATCTGCTTTTGATTTTGCTTCCAGAAGAAACTTGAGATTAAGTGGCAGTCTGCTTTCTGGGAGAGTTTGGAAACTAAATGCCAACCATACAGGTAGTATGTGATCAAACCCTTACTAAAATCACTCTGGCCACCAAAGGTTTGGCTGAGCTTCGCTGATTATCTCGTTGGGGGTGTGAATTGTGAAACAGTGCTGGTGTGGAATTGGAAATGCAACAAGGGCACATCACCTGTGTCAAAATGAAAAAAATAATGCCACTAGAAGACATTTGGTAGCAGGTCAGAAACAAGCAGTTACACAGAGGTCATTGAAGCAGCCACTAGAGTGGTGGACAGGGGTGTGAAAATATGAACTTCTGTACCTGGACTCCCCAGACCACCCTCAACTCTTCACGAAATAAGCTCTAGTTTTCATGATACCTTGACATTGGATTAAATAATGCATATGAACTAATTTATACTTATAACACCTGCAATACACCTTCACTATCAAATAAAAGTTATAACTTTATTTTTTCAATTAATATTTTACACTCAAACTTTTACATTCACACTTTCAAGGCTGAATTATTCATAACGTGCATCAGATATGGCTTATTGCTTCGATTCTTTTCAGAAAAAAATAACAAGTTAAAATGAAATATTTTCCACAAATACGCATCATTACTCAGCTTTGTTTTGATACTCTTGCCTCATAAATATTTTAACATAGCTATCAGAGATAGCACTTTAGTTATTCAGCTGCATGTTGCTTTAATTTTGAGTTTACTTAGGTGCTAACTCTGGAGTCTACCACAGAATCTAAATCTCAGAAACTGATAAATACAAGTTAGGAGTTTCCAGAGAAATTCACTGGAAACTTACTGTGAAAAGAAGACATATGATCTTGTGAACAGTCCATATTTACATATTTATATGTTCCCTCCTCCTCATTGCTTAGGCTGAGAAATGTCTCATCCACACATCTTTTATGACTTATTTATGAATATGTGGTGGAAAATATCCTAGTCCATTTTGATGCCTTTGAAAATATCACTGTTTTTTCTGGTTTCGAATTTTAAAGTTGCTTGTATAGCCTGTATAAATGAGAGACTTTTTTTTTATGCCGAGCAAAATTCTCATGTCATTTAAAATGCTTGCTGATTTTTTTGTTTTTAGAATCTGCAGCCACCCTGCTCTGTGTACAGTGTGTTTCTGCAGTTTGAATATCTTTAGCTCTCCCTCCATCAGACGCTACCTTGTCTTCCATT